AGTGCTGCCACCCACCTGCTCGCCTCCTTGCCAACCTTCAAATCAGCCCAAGACCCAACGGTCTGCAAGGCACCTGCGGCCACCCGTTACAGCTTCAAACTCAACAGGTATTCTGCCTCACACCCCTTCCTCCTTCCTTCCCTTGCCCCTCGTCTCCACTCCTTTCCCTCAAGCTCCCAACCGAACATGTGCAGCACACAAGGGTCATTGTCTGCAGCTGCTGCCACTCACTTTCTCGCCTCCCTGCTGATTTGCAGTCGGCTCGAAAAGTGCTTTCCCTACACTACTCCCCCCTTTCCCTTGCCCCTCCTCTCTACTCCTTTCCCTCAAGCTCCCAACCGAACATGTGCAGCACACAAGGGTCATGGTCTGCAGATGCTGCCACCCATTACAAGAGGCTATCTCTGGAAGTATTTTTCTCACACCGCTCCCCCCTTCCCTTGCACCGCGCCCCCCTTCTAATCTTCCTGAAGGTCCCTCCCAACCGAACGTGACCAGCACTGAAGGGTTGTTAGTCTGCACCTGCTGCTACCACCCGAGTTGCCTCCTTGCAGTCTGTAGAATCGAGCCAAGATCATCTCTCTCACACCACTCCTCTCCACGTTCCCCTCCTCCCCCTCCCGCTCCTCTTCTCCCTCAAGCTCCCAACCGAACGTGACCAGCACTGAAGGGTCGTTAGTCTGCAGCTGCTGCTACCACCCGACTAGCAAGTCAGTAGAGTCTGTAGAGTCAGGGCCAAAAGCGCCTCCCTCATACCACTCCTCCCTTCCTCTGCACCACGCCCCCCTCCTCCTCCTCTCCCTCAAGCTCTTGACCAAACGTGTCCAGCACAGAAGGGTCGTAGTCTGCAGCTGCTGCCACCCACTTTCTCGCTTCCCTGCGGTTTCCCTCTGCACTCAAGAGGCTGGGAGTGAAGGGACGTGGGGAGAGGAGAGGGAGCAGTAGAGGAGACACGATGAGGGGTAGAGCAGTGTGAGGGGAAGGAGAGGAAGGTTCCATGACTGGAAAACTTCGCACACATCTCTGTACAACTGATTACCCTTTTGAATTGACTATCGCCTCATCTCATCACACAGGAAGGTTCAGCATGGCCAGGAAGCATCACAAACATTTTTTCGTACAACTCATTACCTTGTCTATGTGTTCTACGTATCGTCGAGTAGACTTCAGTGAAACGCTTCAATCGAGTATGCAGGAGGCATACCAATAGAAGCGAGCAACATAGAAGCGAGGCACTGCTGCCACCTGCAGCAGCGCCTTGTGAGGAGGGCCGGCATGGCGTTACGCCTTGTGAGGAGGGCCAGCATGGCGCTATACCTTGTGAGGAGGGCCTGCATGGCGAGTGCCTGTCGTCGTCTTTTGAGGCGCCTCGAACTTGTAACAATTCAAGTCAACGCTTGTGAGAATTCAACTGCACGAACTTGCGAGGGCCAGCATGGCCTGTGCGTGTCAGCGTCTTTTCAGGTGCTTCAAAACTTGTGAGGCCCCCCAAAAGTCAACGATTTTGAGAATTCAACTGCACTACCTTGCGAGGGCCAGCATGGCCTGTGCGTGTCGGCGTCGGTTCAGAGGGTCTCTCTTCTGCTCCCCCTCCAGCACCGTCTCTGCTGCCACCTGCAGCAGTGCTTTCGCCTCCAAAGGCCGGCTCTGAGGGGAAAGAGGAAAGGAGTCATGGCAAAAGGGAGAGAGGAGGCGAGGGAGGGAGATTGAGGGTCTCTCTTCTGCTCCCCTTCCAGCACCGTCCCTGCTGCCACCTGCAGCAGTGCCTTCGCGTCTAAAGGACGGCCCTGGTAGAGTTGGGAAGGGAGGCACGCAAAGAGAGGAAAGGGGTGAGGGAGGCAGAGGTATGGTCTGGAGCAGAGGTATGGTCTGGAGCAGAGGTATGGTCTGGAGCAGAGGTATGGTCTGGAGCAGAGGTATGGTCTGGAGCAGAGGTATGGTCTCTCTTCTTCTCCCCCTCCAGCACCATTTCCGCTGCCGCCTGCAGCAGCGCCTTGACCTCTAAAGGACGGCTCTGGGGGGAGAAGGGAAAGGAGGCATGGCAAAGGGAGGGAAGGGGTGAGGGGGTTGGATGGAGGGTCTCTCTCTTCTGCTCCCCCTCCAGCACCGTTTCTGCTGCCGCCTGAAGCAGCGCCTTGGCCTCCACAGGACGGCTCTGAGGAGAGAGGGATGGGCGCGGAAAGGAGAGGGAGAAAATGTCGTTTTTGAGGTGCCTCACACTTTGCCCTTGCTCTTCGCCCGTATTTAAAGGGTCTCTCTTCTGCTCCCCCTCGAGCACCGTTTCTGCGCGCCTTGGCCTCCACAGGACGGCTCTCGGGGAATGGGAGAGGGGGATGGGGTGAAGAGAAAGGAGTGGCAGAGTGAGAGAGGAGGATGGGGTGAAGAGAAGGAGTGGGAGAGTGAGGGAGGGGGATGGGGTGAAGAGAAGGAGTGGGAGAGTGAGGGTTGAAAATGCAATAAAAGTATGTTTTGCTCAACAAAAAAACCTTAACCACTTTTTAAAAAAAATCGACTGCCATGTGGACGCCTCATTTGGGTTTGGACATGCGTATACTGACAGGACGCGTATACAGACAGGACGCGTATACAGACAGGACGCGTATACAGACAGGACGCGTATACAGACAGGACGCGTATACAGACAGGACGCGTATACAGACAGGACGCGGATATAGACAGGACGCGTATACAGACAGGACGCGTATACAGACAGGACGCGTATACAGACAGGACGCGTATACAGACAGGACGCGTATACAGACAGGACGCGGATACAGACAGGACGCGTATACAGACAGGACGCGTATACAGACAGGACGCGTATACAGACAGGACGCGTATACAGACAGGACGCGTATACAGACAGGACGCGTATACAGACAGGACGCGTATACAGACAGGACGCGGACACAGACAGGACGCGTACACAGACAGGACGCGTACACAGACAGGACGCGTACACAGACAGGACGCGGACACAGACAGGACGCGTACACAGACAGGACGCGTACACAGACAGGACGCGTACACAGACAGGACGCGTACACAGACAGGACGCGTACACAGACAGGACGCGTACACAGACAGGACGCGTACACAGACAGGACGCGTACACAGACAGGACGCGTACACAGACAGGACGCGTACACAGACAGGACGCGTACACAGACAGGACGCGTACACAGACAGGACGCGTACACAGACAGGACGCGTGCACAGACAGGACGCGTGCACAGACAGGACGCGTGCACAGACAGGACGCGTGCACAGACAGGACGCGTACACAGACAGGACGCGTGCACAGACAGGACGCGTGCACAGACAGGACGCGTGCACAGACAGGACGCGTACACAGACAGGACGCGTACACAGACAGGACGCGTACACAGACAGGACGCGTACACAGACAGGACGCGTACACAGACAGGACGCGTACACAGACAGGACGCGTACACAGACAGGACGCGTACACAGACAGGACGCGTACACAGACAGGACGCGTACACAGACAGGACGCGTACACAGACAGGACGCGTACACAGACAGGACGCGTACACAGACAGGACGCGCATACAGACAGGACGCGCATACAGACAGGACGCGTATACAGACAGGACGCGTATACAGACAGGACGCGTATACAGACAGGACGCGTATACAGACAGGACGCGTATACAGACAGGACGCGTATACAGACAGGACGCGTATACAGACAGGACGCGTATACAGACAGGACGCGTATACAGACAGGACGCGTATACAGACAGGACGCGTATACAGACAGGACGCGTCTACAGACAGGACGCGTCTACAGACAGGACGCGTGTACAGACAGGACGCGTGTACAGACAGGACGCGTGTACAGACAGGACGCGTGTACAGACAGGACGCGTGTACAGACAGGACGCGTGTACAGACAGGACGCGTGTACAGACAGGACGCGTGTACAGACAGGACGCGTGTACAGACAGGACGCGTGTACAGACAGGACGCGTGTACAGACAGGACGCGTGTACAGACAGGACGCGTATACAGACAGGACGCGTATACAGACAGGACGCGTATACAGACAGGACGCGTATACAGACAGGACGCGTATACAGACAGGACGCGTATACAGACAGGACGCGTATACAGACAGGACGCGTATACAGACAGGACGCGTATACAGACAGGACGCGTATACAGACAGGACGCGTATACAGACAGGACGCGTATACAGACAGGACGCGTATACAGACAGGACGCGTATACAGACAGGACGCGTATACAGACAGGACGCGTATACAGACAGGACGCGTATACAGACAGGACGCGTATACAGACAGGACGCGTATACAGACAGGACGCGTATACGGACAGGACGCGTATACGGACAGGACGCGTATACGGACAGGACGCGTATACGGACAGGACGCGTATACGGACAGGACGCGTATACGGACAGGACGCGTATACGGACAGGACGCGTATACGGACAGGACGCGTATACGGACAGGACGCGTATACGGACAGGACGCGTATACGGACAGGACGCGTATACGGACAGGACGCGTATACGGACAGGACGCGTATACGGACAGGACGCGTATACGGACAGGACGCGTATACGGACAGGACGCGTATACGGACAGGACGCGTATACGGACAGGACGCGTATACGGACAGGACGCGTATACGGACAGGACGCGTATACGGACAGGACGCGTATACGGACAGGACGCGTATACAGACAGGACGCGTATACAGACAGGACGCGTATACAGACAGGACGCGTATACAGACAGGACGCGTATACAGACAGGACGCGTATACAGACAGGACGCGTATACAGACAGGACGCGTATACAGACAGGACGCGAGTTGGATGATAGGCATGCACTGGACTGGAACCCACCTGCTGTGTTATGATAACGAGTCTATTTTTGAGTCGACTAAAAAATGGACTCACCACACACGTATACAGACAGGACGAGATAAAAGAGATGTTTTGAGACGTCTCAAAACACCACAGGCGTATACAGACAGGACGAGATAAAAGAGATGTTTTGAGACGTCTCAAAACACCACAGGCGTATACAGACAGGACGAGAGTTAAATGATTCACATGCACTGGAACCCACCTGCTGCGCCAATGCCACACCCGCGCCCAGGTGAGCTGCCAGCTGTACCGCCACGTCAGCACGCTCCTGCGGTATGGAACAATCATGAAAGAAAGAAACAGAGCAAGAGAATGAGGATTCGAAATGAGGCTGGTGGGTGTTGGGATCATTTCGGATGCAATGCGCGGGTGTGCTAGCATGCAATACCTAGTCAGTCGGGAAGCATTCAACTTCTTCAGCCCACCGCCCGGCATTGCTGTGGATCTGACCCAATTCCTTGCAATCTTGGTGCTCAGCAACAGCACCTTGAGAGGAGCAAGTGCCTCCCATTTCGGAGTGGTTCATTGCCTGGGGGAATCATTCAGCCGCGTTCACCAACAGCACAGCACCGCTTTGCATCTAACCCAAATGATGGCTAACGACAGTAAGAAACACACTGAGAGGAGCAAGTACCTTTGTAGTGGTAAAAAATTAGGGAGAAGCATTCAGCTGCCGCCACCCACCGCCCAGAACCGCTGCCCATCTGACCTTGATAGCTAACAGTAGTAAAAAAAAACACCTTCAAAGGATTCAAGTACCTTGGAGTGGTTGATCGCCTGGGAGAAGCATTCAGCCGCCTCCACCCACCGCCCTGCACCGCTGTGCATCTGACCCAATCCCAGCCACGCGGAGGATGCTGATTGGTCGATCTCCAAAACACGCCTGGTGGGAATGAGGAGGTAGGCTTACTTAGAAAGGCAAAGCGTGACAATAAAGCACTACGCAAGCACTAGTTGCTCAAACACTTCAATGCTCCAACTCTTTGCGTGGAGCCAGTCAGGTGGAGCATCCAAGACATGTAAATATAGAAGAGTGATTGCATTGATAAAAGGTAAAGGAAGAAAATACTTTTGAAGCCCTAAAAAGGACAACAAGCAGCCTAAGGACGTCATGATGAGTGAGGTAGACATGTGACAGCAACAATAGGCGCACCCCCAAGGTTGTAGTGGAGACATAACGGGCTGACTTTTGAGTCGACTCAAAAGTCAGCATAATATCAACAGTGAAATCCAGGAAACGTAATTCCCAGCTTTCATACCTCAGAGCGCAGGCAGCCAGATCTACACTGCCTGCCGCCTTGAGTTGTGCTGCAGCCTGTCATAAAGGGGATGACAAAGAGAATCCTGGCAGGGTTTGACGGTCAAGGTTGAGGAGTGCGGATGCAGAGCACAATAAAGGACGTCTTACAGGCAGAAAACATGTTTTGAGACGTCTCAAAACAAGAGAATCCTGGCAGTTAAGGGTTTGACGGTCAAAATTATGAAGTACGGATGCAGAGCACAATAAAGGACGTTTAGTTTTGAGGCGCCTCAAAACTGCACAATAAAGGACACTTTGCAGACAGAAAAAAAAGATACTACTGCCAAAGAAGCTAACCTCAATAATCATGAAATGAGCAGCGAGGAGCAGAGCAGCGATGATGCACAAGTGACAGCCAGGAGCAGAGCAGCGATGATGCACAAGTGACAGCCAGGAGCAGAGCAGCGATGATGCACAAGTGACAGCCAGGAGCAGAGCAGCGATGATGCACAAGTGACAGCCAGGAGCAGAGCAGCGATGATGCACAAATGACAGCCAGGAGCAGAGCAGCGATGATGCACAAATGACAGCCAGGAGTCCAGGCCTTGCAGAAGGTATCAAGGTCTACCGACCGTTGGTAATTACATTATAACCCTTTTTCCCTCGCGTTTCTGAGTTTGCTACTCACACGAGCAGAGATGCATTCAGGGGGGAGGCCGATAAGCTTTGGGGATCTGCCAATTGTGCAGCCCCTTTAAAGAACTAGTGTTTTGAGACGTCTCAAAACGCTAGTTCTTTCACGTGCCTATGAGCCTTGGGGATCTGCCAATTGTGCAGCCCCTTTTTCAAGATGAGCCCTAAAGACCGATCAGAAACAGTTTTGAGGCGCCTCAAAACTAGACGAGCCCTAGAGACGGGTCACAAACGGCACTCACAACAAGCAAAGCATGCGGGTCTGTTATCCGTGCAATCTCCTGCTCTGATACCAACTGCCCCACACTCCCTGCACCTCCAGAACTGGCGGCATCACCATTCCCAGCACCACTGGCAGCACCATTCCCAGCACCACTGGCAGCACCATTCCCAGCACCATTCCCAGCACCACTGGCAGCACCATTCCCAGCACCATTCCCAGCACCACTGGCAGCAGCAGAAGTCCGAGCGGCGGCAGCAGCAGTGACGGTGCGAGCATGCTGCTGCTGCATGGCCTGCAGCTGTGCGATGGTGGGCAGGCCTAGAGCCTGGCGACTGGTGGGGGACCGGAGGGCCAATGCCTGTAGGAGGGGGGAGAAAAGGGAAACGGAGAGGCGCGGGAAAGAGGGAAAGAGGGAAAGACGGGGGGAGATGCGGAGATGGGGAGATGGGGAGATGGGGAGATGGGGAGATGGGGAGATGCGGAGATGGGGAGATGGGGAGATGGGGAGATGGGGAGATGGGGAGATGGGGAGATGGGGAGATGGGGAGATGGGGAGATGCGGAGATGCGGAGATGCGGAGATGGGGAGATGTGGAGATGGGGAGATGGGGAGATGGGGAGATGGGGAGATGCGGAGATGGGGAGATGGGGAGATGGGGAGATGGGGAGATGGGGAGATGGGGAGATGCGGAGATGGGGAGATGGGGAGATGCGGAGATGCGGAGATGGGGAGATGGGGAGATGGGGAGATGGGGAGATGGGGAGATGCGGAGATGCGGAGATGCGGAGATGCGGAGATGGGGAGATGGGGAGATGGGGAGATGGGGAGATGGGGAGATGGGGAGATGGGGAGATGGGGAGATGCGGAGATGGGGAGATGGGGAGATGGGGAGATGGGGAGATGGGGAGATGGGGAGATGGGGAGATGGGGAGATGGGGAGATGGGGAGATGGGGAGATGGGGAGATGGGGAGATGGGGAGATGGGGAGATGGGGAGATGCGGAGATGGGGAGATGGGGAGATGGGGAGATGGGGAGATGGGGAGATGCGGAGATGGGGAGATGGGGAGATGGGGAGATGGGGAGATGGGGAGATGGGGAGATGGGGAGATGGGGAGATGGGGAGATGGGGAGATGGGGAGATGCGGAGATGGGGAGATGCGGAGATGGGGAGACGGGGAGATGGGGAGATGGGGAGATGGGGAGATGCGGAGATGGGGAGATGGGGAGATGGGGAGATGGGGAGATGGGGAGATGGGGAGATGGGGAGATGGGGAGATGGGGAGATGCGGAGATGGGGAGATGGGGAGATGGGGAGATGGGGAGATGGGGAGATGGGGAGATGGGGAGATGGGGAGATGGGGAGATGGGGAGATGGGGAGATGGGGAGATGGGGAGATGCGGAGATGGGGAGATGGGGAGATGGGGAGATGGGGAGATGGGGAGATGGGGAGATGGGGGGATGGGGAGATGGGGAGATGGGGAGATGGGGAGATGCGGAGATGGGGAGATGCGGAGATGCGGAGATGGGGAGATGGGGAGATGGGGAGATGGGGAGATGGGGAGATGCGGAGATGGGGAGATGGGGAGATGGGGAGATGGGGAGATGGGGAGATGGGGAGATGGGGAGATGGGGAGATGGGGAGATGGGGAGATGGGGAGATGGGGAGATGCGGAGATGGGGAGATGGGGAGATGGGGAGATGGGGAGATGGGGAGATGCGGAGATGGGGAGATGGGGAGATGGGGAGATGGGGAGATGGGGAGATGGGGAGATGGGGAGATGGGGAGATGGGGAGAGGGAGGTGAGAAGAAGCAGAAGCCACGGTGCGAGCGTGCTGCGGTGGTGTTATGGCTTGCAGGTGTGCAATGGTGGGCAGGCCTACAGGCCTGGCGGACGGTGGGGGACTGGAGGGCCAAGGCCTGGGGAGAGAGAGAAGAGGGGGGAAAATGGGGCAGGAGGGTGCCGTGAAGCGTGGTGTTATGGGTCTAAGGTGCATGGCTTGACAGTAGGTGTGTGCGCGGAAAGAGACATAGGAGGATGTTGGGGAGGGGAAAGGAGGAGAGGGGAAGGTAAGGGAGGGGGAGGGGATGGAAGGGATAGAAGGGGATGAGATGCGATGGGAAGGGATGGGTTGGGAAGGGAAGCGAAGGGATGGGAATGATTAAAAAGGGATGAGATGCGATGGGAAGGGATGCACAGGGGTAGAATGGGCACCTGAGCGAGGGTGAAGGTGTTGTTGGTGAGCCAGTACACATGCACTGCCTGGGTTGAAACAGGTTGAAGAGGGGTGAAAAGCGGTGAAAGGGGACTTCAAAGGTGTAATGGCTGCATGCGGAGTCGTTGAAAGCAACCTCATATGCGTTTGGGAGCATCACAATCGCAGGGGCATATGGCAAGGTGCATTGGCAAGGTGCATTGGCAAGGTGCATTGTCAAGGTGCATTGTCAAGGTGCATTGTCAAGGTGCGTTGGCAAGGTGCATTGTCAAGGTGCATTGTCAAGGTGCATTGTCAAGGTGCATTGTCAAGGTGCATTGGCAAGGTGCATTGTCAAGGTGCATTGTCAAGGTGCATTGTCAAGGTGCATTGTCAAGGTGCATTGGCAAGGTGCATTGTCAAGGTGCATTGTCAAGGTGCATTGTCAAGGTGCATTGTCAAGGTGCATTGGCAAGGTGCATTGTCAAGGTGGATTGTCAAGGTGCATTGTCAAGGTGCATTGTCAAGGTGCATTGGCAAGGTGCATTGTCAAGGTGCATTGTCAAGGTGCATTGTCAAGGTGCATTGGCAAGGTGCATTGGCAAGGTGCATTGTCAAGGTGCATTGTCAAGGTGCATTGTCAAGGTGCATTGTCAAGGTGCATTGTCAAGGTGCATTGTCAAGGTGCATTGTCAAGGTGCATTGGCAAGGTGCATTGTCAAGGTGCATTGTCAAGGTGCATTGGCAAGGTGCATTGGCAAGGTGCATTGTCAAGGTGCATTGTCAAGGTGCATTGTCAAGGTGCATTGTCAAGGTGCATTGGCAAGGTGCATTGTCAAGGTCCCGGTCAAACAGGAACCCGTTGAAACCTCTCTTCACCCCTTTGGACGCATTGGGAGCGATTTTTGAGAAATTAAAAAAAAAAAATCGCTCACAGGGACAAGGTGCATTGGCAAGGGCCCAGCCAAACAGAAACTCTTTGAGAGCACTCTTGAGCCCCTTTGAACGCATTGGGCCTTGCTACTTCACGTATAAACATCTCTAAACCTGTGCCCTGCTGCAGTCACCTGCTACAGGCATTCCCTATTGTCACCTGCTACAGGCATTCCCTATAGTCACCTGGGGAACGTTGAGTGCAGCATAGAGAGTTGGGAGAGTGAGGAATTCGAGGAAGGTTCGGTAGAGCTGGTGTGGACAGGCAAAGGGGGGTGAATGTGGAAGAGGGGGAGGGGAGGGAGGGGAAGGAGGGAGATGAATTTTGAGTCGACTCAAAGGTCACTAGGGAGGTTCGGTAGAGCTGGTGTGGACAGGCAAAGGGGGTTGAATGCGGGAGAGGGGGAGGGGAGGGAGGGAGAGTGAGGGGAATGAGACGGGGAAATGGAAGGGGAGGAGGGGAGGCTTCAAAAGACTTTGTGGGAGTGAGGGAAGTGAGGTGGAGAGAGTGAAAGGAGGGTTAGATAACGAGGAAGGGACGTAAAGGAAATGTGAAACTCACACACAGTAGAAACACACACTTGAGCATTCACCACAATGGTTGAACAGCATAGTTCACCATCACCAATACCTATCAACACCCCTCAGCACCCCTCCGCACCCAACAGCACCCCTCAGCACCCCTCAGCACCACTCAGCACCCCTCACCAGCATGGCCTTGTCAGACGCAGTGTGCACACCCATCTTGTGCAGCGGCATCATCACCTACACGCCCTTGCACACAAAGAGGGAGGGGAGTGGGAGTAGGTAAGCTCCAGATGCTGCTTCTGAGTGTGCTTTTGAGTCGACTGAAGAGCGCCCTTGCACACAAAGAGGGAGGGTAATGGGAGTAGGTAAGCTGCAGATGCTGTGGCTTGTGAAATGAGTGAGTTTTTGAGAGGCCTCAAAAACTCGCTCCTTTCACATCACCTACGCGCCCTTGCACACAAAGAGGGAGGGTAATGGGAGTAGGTAAGCTGCAGATGCTGTGGCTTGTGCACCCATCTTGTGCAGCGGCATCATCATCTACACGCCCTTGCACACAAAGAGGGAGGGGAGTGGCAACCTTGGCCAGAGGCAAGGGAGGTGGAAGAAGGTGGGGTTGCATGAGGGAAGAGGGGGGATGAAGGATGTTTGGAAAAGGGTTGGGATGAGGAATGTGTGAAGGTTACAAAAGAAAATAGTTGTTTTGGAAGGTAATGTGGAATGGGGAGAGAAGGAACAAGTTAGAGAGTCGACGTTGGATGCAAAAAAGGGGGTTGTGTGGGTTTGGGGTGCAGAGGTCGAGAAAACGGTGAGGGGGAGGAGGGGAGGGAGAACGAGGTGTGGGGAGGGGTAGAGAAGGGTGATGGAAGGAACGGCACCTGCAGGGAGGAGTAGAAGGAGCCAGCGATGGCGAGGGGAATCAACAAGCTCAGCAGAGGTAGGTGAAGGAGTGAGGGAAGGGTGAGGGATAGAGGGACAGGTGAGAGGGAGAGGGCTGGCAAGAGAGGGGCAAGGGTGATGGAAGGGAAGGCACCTGCACTGAGGAGTAGAAGGAGCCAGCGATGGCGATGGGAAGCACCCAGCCCAGCACACCCTGGGGGAACGCTGTGAGGTCGTCAAACCACAGACACCCTCCCTGACAGGGGCACAAGGGGTGAAGGGGTGAAATGAAAGAGGTTTGAATGAAAGAGGTTTGAATGAAAGAGGTTTGAATGAAAGAGGTTTGATTGAAAGAGGTTTGAATGAAAGAGGTTTGAATGAAAGAGGTTTGAATGAAAGAGGTTTGAATGAAAGAGGTTTGAATGAAAGAGGTTTGAATGAAAGAGGTTTGAATGAAAGAGGTTTGAATGAAAGAGGTTTGAATGAAAGAGGGGAACGAGCTGCTTGTGAATGACATCGGAGGTAGTACTGGAAAGTTATGCTTTACAGATGGGAAACGGAGCTAGTATTGGAGCACACAAGGTGACTTTTGAGTCGACTGGAAAGTCACCTCGAAGCACATCGGAGCTAGTACTGGAGCACAAACATGGAAAGATCAGATCAGCCAACTCATGGGAAACACGGTTGCAGTCTCATGACTGACAAAACACTGCCGCTCACCACATCGAATCCAGGGTGAGCTGAGAGTGCCATGTGACGCATGGTGAAGATCCAGGTGAAGAAGAGTGGGATCTGGTGGCACGTGGTGGTGGTGACAGTGGCACGGGTGGGAGGGAGGGGTGAGAGGGAGTTTAAAGCGTTGCAAATGGTGAAGGTCCAGGTGAAGAAGAGTGGGATTTGGTGGCACGTGGTGGCATGGCATGGCTTGTCTTGTAGTAGCAGTGGGAGGGAGGGAAGGGGTGAAGAGTGTCCTAAAGGATCAGGGAAGAGCATGTGAAGATCCAGGTGAAGAAGAGTGGTAAGGTGGCATGACTATGGCAGGGAAGTGACAATGATCGCAGATGAGAATTGAGTCAGTTCTAGTGCACTACATACAGGGCGGGTGCAGAATCTGTTTTTATAGAAATTTCAAAAAGCAGATTCAGACTACATACAGGGTGGATGCAAAGCAACTGACTCAAAGCAATATTTGTCCCACTTCTCCCACAGCACAGGAAGCACAGGAAGCACAGGAAGCACAGGAAGCACAGGAAGCACAGGAAGCACAGGAAGCACAGGAAGCACAGGAAGCACAGGAAGCACAGGAAGCACAGGAAGCACAGGAAGCACAGGAAGCACAGGAAGCACAGGAAGCACAGGAAGCACAGGAAGCACAGGAAGCACAGGAAGCACAGGAAGCACAGGAAGCACAGGAAGCACAGGAAGCACAGGAAGCACAGGAAGCACAGGAAGCACAGGAAGCACAGGAAGCACAGGAAGCACAGGAAGCACAGGAAGCACAGGAAGCACAGGAAGCACAGGAAGCACAGGAAGCACAGGAAGCACAGGAAGCACAGGAAGCACAGGAAGCACAGGAAGCACAGGAAGCACAGGAAGCACAGGAAGCACAGGAAGCACAGGAAGCACAGGAAGCACAGGAAGCACAGGAAGCACAGGAAGCACAGGAAGCACAGGAAGCACAGGAAGCACAGGAAGCACAGGAAGCACAGGAAGCACAGGAAGCACAGGAAGCACAGGAAGCACAGGAAGCACAGGAAGCACAGGAAGCACAGGAAGCACAGGAAGCACAGGAAGCACAGGAAGCACAGGAAGCACAGGAAGCACAGGAAGCACAGGAAGCACAGGAAGCACAGGAAGCACAGGAAGCACAGGAAGCACAGGAAGCACAGGAAGCACAGGAAGCACAGGAAGCACAGGAAGCACAGGAAGCACAGGAAGCACAGGAAGCACAGGAAGCACAGGAAGCACAGGAAGCACAGGAAGCACAGGAAGCACAGGAAGCACAGGAAGCACAGGAAGCACAGGAAGCACAGGAAGCACAGGAAGCACAGGAAGCACAGGAAGCACAGGAAGCACAGGAAGCACAGGAAGCACAGGAAGCACAGGAAGCACAGGAAGCACAGGAAGCACAGGAAGCACAGGAAGCACAGGAAGCACAGGAAGCACAGGAAGCACAGGAAGCACAGGAAGCACAGGAAGCACAGGAAGCACAGGAAGCACAGGAAGCACAGGAAGCACAGGAAGCACAGGAAGCACAGGAAGCACAGGAAGCACAGGAAGCACAGGAAGCACAGGAAGCACAGGAAGCACAGGAAGCACAGGAAGCACAGGAAGCACAGGAAGCACAGGAAGCACAGGAAGCACAGGAAGCACAGGAAGCACAGGAAGCACAGGAAGCACAGGAAGCACAGGAAGCACAGGAAGCCAGCAAGCACAGGAAGCACAGGAAGCACAGGAAGCACAGGAAGCACAGGAAGCACAGGAAGCACAGGAAGCACAGGAAGCACAGGAAGCACAGGAAGCACAGGAAGCACAGGAAGCACAGGAAGCACAGGAAGCACAGGAAGCACAGGAAGCACAGGAAGCACAGGAAGCACAGGAAGCACAGGAAGCACAGGAAGCACAGGAAGCACAGGAAGCACAGGAAGCACAGGAAGCACAGGAAGCACAGGAAGCACAGGAAGCACAGGAAGCACAGGAAGCACAGGAAGCACAGGAAGCACAGGAAGCACAGGAAGCACAGGAAGCACAGGAAGCACAGGAAGCACAGGAAGCACAGGAAGCACAGGAAGCACAGGAAGCACAGGAAGCACAGGAAGCACAGGAAGCACAGGAAGCACAGGAAGCACAGGAAGCACAGGAAGCACAGGAAGCACAGGAAGCACAGGAAGCACAGGAAGCACAGGAAGCACAGGAAGCACAGGAAGCACAGGAAGCACAGGAAGCACAGGAAGCACAGGAAGCACAGGAAGCACAGGAAGCACAGGAAGCACAGGAAGCACAGGAAGCACAGGAAGCACAGGAAGCACAGGAAGCACAGGAAGCACAGGAAGCACAGGAAGCACAGGAAGCACAGGAAGCACAGGAAGCACAGGAAGCACAGGAAGCACAGGAAGCACAGGAAGCACAGGAAGCACAGGAAGCACAGGAAGCACAGGAAGCACAGGAAGCACAGGAAGCACAGGAAGCACAGGAAGCACAGGAAGCACAGGAAGCACAGGAAGCACAGGAAGCACAGGAAGCACAGGAAGCACAGGAAGCACAGGAAGCACAGGAAGCACAGGAAGCACAGGAAGCACAGGAAGCACAGGAAGCACAGGAAGCACAGGAAGCACAGGAAGCACAGGAAGCACAGGAAGCACAGGAAGCACAGGAAGCACAGGAAGCACAGGAAGCACAGGAAGCACAGGAAGCACAGGAAGCACAGGAAGCACAGGAAGCACAGGAAGCACAGGAAGCACAGGAAGCACAGGAAGCACAGGAAGCATAGGAAGCATAGGAAGCACAGCCCCAGACCTTCCACCGTACCTGCACAGCAGGAGCAGCGAGCAGCCAGAGCGCAGAGGGCGCATTCAGCTGCCTCCTCCTTCTCTGCCTCAGCGCCCATGCCTGCTGCCATGCCATGCCGCTGCCGGGGAGAGGGAAGGGCGGGGGCACTGGAGGGGACGAGTGGTGGGAAAGGGGAGGGAAGGAGAGAATAGGCAAAGAGTGCGTGAGCAAGAGAATACCGAATCTGGTCAGCCCACCTGCCCCCTGCTTCCACTCCACCTCTGCCTCATGACCCATGCCTCATGACCCATGCCTCATGACCCATGCCTCATGACCCATGCCTCATGACCCATGCCTCATGACCCATGCCTCATGACCCATGCCTCATGACCCATGCCTCATGACCCATGCCTCATGACCCATGCCTCATGACCCATGCCTCATGACCCATGCCTCATGACCCATGCCTCGTGACCCATGCCTCGTGACCCATGCCTCGTGACCCATGCCTCCTGACCCATGCCTCATGGCCCATGCCTCATGACCCATGCCTCATGACCCATGCCTCATGACCCATGCCTCATGACCCATGCCTCATGACCCATGCCTCATGACCCATGCCTCATGACCCATGCCTCATGACCCATGCCTCATGACCCATGCCTCATGACCCATGCCTCATGACCCATGCCTCATGACCCATGCCTCATGACCCATGCCTCATGATCCATGCCTCATGACCCATGCCTCATGACCCATGCCTCATGACCCATGCCTCATGACCCATGCCTCATGACCCACGCCTCATGACCCATGCCTCATGACCCATGCCTCATGACCCATGCCTCATGACCCATGCCTCATGACCCATGCCTCATGACCCATGCCTCATGACCCATGCCTCATGACCCATGCCTCATGACCCATGCCTCATGACCCATGCGTCATGACCCATGCGTCATGACCCATGCCATGCCTGCTGCCATATCATGCTGCTGCCAAGGAGAGACGAGTGGTGGGAAAGGGGAAGGAGGGAGGGGACAGGGGAGAGAGAGCGTGCTGAGATCTGATGCTCATCGGATCCCAGAAGAGAGGGACGAGTGCAAGGTGGGACGAGAGCAGAGTGTGTGTCCAAGCCGCGCTTAGATAGAAAACAGGAAGGGCGTGAGGTACATTTGGGTCCCAGAGCGGCGAGCTGCGAGCTGATGCTCGTCTGATGCCATGTTTGGGGGAAGAGCACGAGGCGGGGCGGGTAGAGAGCGTGTGTCTAAGCCACGGCTTGGTAGCAAGAGGAAGCGACGTACATTTGGGTCCCAGAGCGGCGAGCTGGGAGCTGATGCGCATCTGATGCCACGTGAGGGGGAAGAGCGCAAGGCGGAGAGCGAGGGTGGAGCCAATCAGCGTGAGCCACCTGGCATGTCAGAGAAGGGTCGTAGCGTACATGTGCACGAGAAGAAAGCATTCACATATATCGGATGTTTTCTAAAGTCGTAAAAACAAGCAGCCAGATTTTGCGTGGCAATGAGTCGAACTCAAAAGTGAACACTGTCGCTGTCAGGCAATGCGAGTCTCACCATGGGGCTCCTGTGGTGGCTTGTATCGAGGACACCATTTGACTCACAGCGTCTTCAGGCACACCCAACCACGCCCAACCACCCAACCACCCTGCTGCTCCCGCTGCTGCTCCTACTGCTCCCGCTGCTGCTCCTACTGCTCCCGCTGCGTCTCCCCCTCCTCCTGTTACTCCTATTGCTGCTGATGCGTTCGTGAGAGTATCAGCATTTGAACCTGAGCCTCCTGCTTGTGCTGCTTCTTCCCTCCATTGCTCCCATTCTTGAGTCGTTTCAAAGCCTGACTCTCGCTGCTGCGGTTTTGCGTCGTGGTCCCACGTGTTAAGAGTGGTAATGCTGTGGTTGCCAGCTGGTTCTGATGCGTTATAGGCGGGTTCGTTACGGGACAAAGATCTGTTATCAGATGCTTCGATTTGGAGCGGGAGCAGCGTGTCACTCGCGAATCCTCTCGCGTTTAGAAGGTATCTGTGTGCACGGTACTTGCTTACTAAGCGGTATTTGTATAGGTGGTGACTGCTGAAGCGTAACTGTTGGTGTGGTTGGCTTAACAGCCGTGGGCTAGACGGTGATTGGGTGAAAATGGTTCGGCTGGACAATGATTGGTTCTCGGCAGATCTAATGAACGGCGGCGATGGCCTGATGGCTGATGGGCTTGGCAGGGAAGGACCAATGGCATTTTGACACGTCACTGATTGGTTCGGTGATGATTGGCTGGAGGTTGGGATGAGAGAACCGACCAATGGGGCTGCTGCTGACGTGTCAAGTGGCTGCTTGGGTAGGGGAAAGACGGAGGACCAATGAGAGGCAGACACAGGCGAGGAAGGTTGGGGTAAGGAGATTCGAGAAGAGAAAGGTTCGGGAGAGGCGGTTCGCGGAGAGAAGGGAGAGGAGGGAGAGGAGAATTGAGAAGCGGCAAGAGGAGGAGGAGGAGGAGGAGGAGGATGAGGAGGACGAGGGTGAGTGAGAGATTGAAGCAGATAGGAGGCGGGAGTGGGGAGAGGAACGGCGGCGAAGGGCGGAGAGGCGGCGCAGGAGAAGCGGTGACGGCATTGGATTTGGGGTGTTGGAATCTGTAATGACTCGTTTGGGTAAGCCTTCCTGCCACTGAAGCCTCGTCGGTCGGATTCACAGCGCTGGCCGAGTTTCGCACTGGAAAGGCCGTCGAGGCGCGTCAAAATAGCACATTGAAACGCGGCGGATGAGGGGAGATCGTGCGAGACGAGGATAAGGGAATGACGGCTGCGAAGTGAGGCGACGCGGAGTTTGCGACAGGGATGTAACGGGTTACGGAAGTGCTGGAGGGTGGTCCCTGGAGATCACCTTCTGATTGTGACTATACTGATGGTGATCTATATCCCCGACAGAAGCAGGGCTTGGTCCAAGTCGTCGCCTATTTCTTGCTTGGAACAGAGGCTTGTGAATTTCTTGCTTGCTGCTCGCAAATCCCAACATGCAGCACCACCCACAAGATGAACGCGAAACTCTGCCATGAGGACGCATTTGTTCCAAGTCTTGGCTCATCCGAATCTCGGTACGGCCTGACACGAAGAGGCACGTGATTTCGCGTCAAGGTCAAATTGTCAGTTTCGTGAGGCACGACTTTCACACTGGGATCGACATGCATCCGTTACGAGAGCAGATTGCACACAGCGAACAAGTTCTCAATTGTTAGGTGTATACGCAATTACACAAAAGCGTATCCAATTCAGCTCGAGTGCTTGTTGCGAAGCCGATTGTTCGAGGATTCTAGAACCCTAGTTTTAGATTCTAGAGATTCTAGAACCTAGAACCACTCTTCTCGAGGGTTCTCGAGGCTAGTTGTCTGAACCACCATAGCCCAGTGAGACAGGGGACGCCTTAAAAGTCCGTGCGTGCGATCCCCTGATCCAGGTCTTATTGTCGAGTCCTTTACATAGATAAAAACTACATAATTTCGGCAATCACCGGCCACACCACTACTGCGCATTCCTCTATTTTCGTGCACCGATCTCTCTGCCACCCCACATTCCCCTCGAATTTCCTTTCCATATCTCCTAAACCGCAGCAATGGCCACGTCAGCGCCATCGATTCCAGACATTGGCCAGGCAGTGGAGGATCTTTCCGCGCGAGTCGCCACGGAGATTAACGGCCTCACAGGTACCGCCGATTCCGCCTCTGCGGACGCCGCCGTCGCCGCATCCGCTGCGGCGGGGCCTCCCGCAGTGGATGAGATCGAGAGCCTGTGCATGCGGTGCCACGAGCAGGGCACGACGCGGCTCCTGCTGACACGTGTCCCGCATTTTCGGGAGCTCGTCATCATGGCGTTCGAGTGCCCGCATTGTAACGAGTCCAACAACGAGGTACAATTCGCCGGGTCGTTACAACCCACCGGCGTACGGTTCTCCCTTTCCGTACCGGTCGCGGCGGAAGGAGCATCAGCCGAGGGAACGACGGAGTCGTCCGACGCGGATCGTGACGTGGACTCCCACGTGGCGCTGATGAACCGTCAAGTGGTGAAATCTGATTCGGCGACAATCCGCATTCCGGAGATCGACTTCGAGATCCCGCCCGAGTCGCAACGCGGCACGCTCACCACCGTGGAGGGCGTCTTGACCCGCGCGCACGACGGGCTCGACGCGCTTCAGGCGGAGCGGCGCGCGGTGGACGCCGCCGTCGCCGCCGCAATCGACGAATTCCTCGCGAAGTTGAAATCCTGCATCGACGGCTCGCGCGCGTTCACGCTCGTGCTGGACGATCCGTCGGGTAACAGTTACGTCGAGAACCCGCGCGCTCCGGAACCCGATCCGATTCTGAAGGTCGAGCATTACGAGCGAACGGCGGAGCAGAACGAGAAGCTAGGGTTCCTCGCGGCTCCTGCGGGCGCGGGGGAAGGCGGGGAAGCGGAGGAAGGCGCGGGGGGAGGCGCAGCGGGGGATCCGACGAAGCTTCCGCACGGGTCAGTGGGCGCTGAGCTGGCGTATCGCGCGATTGCCGGCGGGAATAACGCGGACCTGGCGAGTAACGCGCTGCTGTGCGGGTACTCCGCGCCCGAGGAGGTGATGGTGTTCCCCGCCACCTGCAGCGCGTGCGGCGCTAGCGGCGCCGCGAGCGGCGGGGCGAGTGGCGCGACTGGGGACGCGGGGAAGGAGGATGGGGAAAAGGTGGACACGGAGGGAAAAGTGGAGGGGGGAGCGGAAGGAGGAGCGGAGGGGGGAGCTGCGCACGTGGACGAGGTCTGCGTGACGCGCATGTTCGCGACGCGGATTCCGTATTTCAAGGACGTAATCCTGATGGCCACGTCATGCGACGCGTGCGGGTATAAGAACTCCGAGCTTAAAGCGGCCGGCGGCGTCGCGCCTAAGGGACGCAAAATCACCCTAACGGTTCGCAACCAGAAGGACCTATCCCGCGATATAATTAAAGCGGAATCCGCCGCGGTGTACATTCCCGAGATTGAATTAGAACTAGGCGCTGGGACTCTAGGCGGGCGGGTGACTACAGTGGAGGGGCTTGTAACGGAAATCGCGGACAGCTTGAAACGGATACGGCCGTTTGAGATTGGGGACAGCGCTCCTGATTGGCAGAGGAGCAAGTGGCAGGAGTTGGACAATCAGCTGCGCGCACTGGCTGCTGGTGAACCCGTGCGGGCGAAACGAAACAGGGCTACAGTTGCTGCTGCTGGTGCTGCTGGTGTCGCTGCTGCTGCTGGTGCTGGAGTCCAAAATGGGTCTGGAGCAGAAGGGGGGTTGGAGAAAGAGAAGGGAGAACCTGGGGAGGAAGGGAGGGCGGAGGAGGAGAAGGGGGAGGGGGAGGGGGATGGGGAGGAGGAGTTGACGGAATGGCATTTGGTTTTGGACGACGCGTTGGCGAACTCGTTTGTGTCGTTTGTGGGCGAGCGACTGGAGGACGATGGGCAGTTACATGTAGAGGAGTATGTGCGATCATGGGAGCAGGATGAGGAGCTGGGGCTGCATGACATGCGCACAGGGGAGGAGCATTCGCAGGGGAAAGAGAAGGGTGAGCTGGAGGCAATTCAAGAGTAAATGGTAAGGGTTGGAAGGCAGGGTGAGCAGGTGCAGGCAGAGGAGTATGTGCGGACGTGGGAGCAGGACGAGGAGCTGGGGCTGCATGACATGCGCACAGGGGAGGAGCAGCACTTGCAGGATGAGGGGAAGGAGGGGAAAGCTGAGCTGGAGGCGATACAGGAGTGAGTGGTAGGGACTGGAATGTGGGGCAAAGAGGTGAAGGTGCAGGTGGAGGAAGAGTATGCGCAGATGTGGGAGCAGGATGAGGAGTGGGGGATGCATGACATGCGGACATAGCAGCAGCATGTGCAGCAGGTGAGGGGGGGGGGGGGGGGGGGGGGGGGGGGGGAAGGAGTAGAAGAGGGTGAGCTGGCGTAGATTAAAGAGTGACTCACTAATAGGCTAGAAATTAGGAAGATGCGTGCCCAATGTGGCTCGCTCCCGATGTGGCCCGCTTTCTTTAAAGAGGAATTGGCAGGAATGTAAGGAGCAGTCTCTACTCCTTTGGCCTTAAAAACCTCTCTAATTGAGGCTGCCTCTTGTCGTCTTTGTTCTTTGTGCGCACCCCAAGCTGTGTCCACTCTTGACATCGGATTTTAGATCCCTGCCTAGCTGGGGTAGCTCCCTATATATTGCTAGGTTTTGTACCTGTATTACAGACGATTTTCATTGTTTGTTTTTTTACCACTCGAGCACTCTCTCAAATGCGTACCGGTATATTGTAGTTGGTACGCGATATGGTCACCTTCGTTACCCCTTCCTCAAATTCACGAACTCTTCGTCCCTTCCGTCCCGTGCACACCACGCGAGAGGGTAACCCGTCGTCATCAACTCAGCCCTCCCCCCCACCTTCCCCTTTCTCGAGCCGCATGTCGGACCGGAAATTGAGGTTCAAATTGAGCAGCCAGCTCGAAAACACAACCACCAACCTCCAGCCTCTCGTCCCCTCGCAAGTTCAGTTCTATCTGATAGAACCACTATCCGTAACCAGCGTGTGTGTGTGTTTAGTTCTATTCGCCACACTGATTCGGTCCGAATCTCTTGCAGCCCAATGAGGATTCTGATGAAACCACAGCTTGTAGTGGCCTCTATTTTTCTCTTTCTCCTCATCGGCTCCATCGCGGAAAAGGGAAGTGCGAAAAAAAACCTAAACGTTTCGGTTTCGTAACTTTCCAGTTGCATTCTCTGCGCAAGAAAAAAGTTTGACTCGTAAACAGTGGTAGCGTCAGTAACTTGCGAAGTGACTTTCCCGTCACATTCCCAACACAAACTGTACACTTCGGTGCAATTGTGAGGTATACGGTAAAGCATCTAGGGGGGTGGAAAACGTCACCCTTGAGCAACCTACGCGAAAGTGTCACGACATCGCCACGTGGCATACCACAAACTATACATGAAACTCAAACATGCTGACGTGGCTGCCTGCGTACTCCTGCGACAGCCGTCGGATTAGATTAAATCGACGCACAAGAACGCACCTTATAGACCAATCAGAGGGCATTTCGGTACGCAGAAACGATCTCTAATTGGATGACAATTCGATCCTTTTTACATATATTTTTCGTTACGATACAGCCTTCATATGCATGAGCGCATATACTTCAATAAAAAAAACATCATTTCATACAATTTGACTGTACCTTCTCCAACCACCATAACTACACATCCTACAGCAAACCTACAAATCACAACCACCGTCTGGGTGCTGCATGTTGATGAGTGCCTGCAAGAATGATAGCAAGGTTATGCTCGTACAATATGCACTTCAAGTAGGCAGTTCAGCACTCACCAGATACTTACACTGTAGTAAGAAGTGTACTGTAAAGGTTAAAAATATTCTTAGCGCAGTTCTGCTTGTCGTTAAGCCTGCGCACAGAAATTTCTCAACCGGGGTTAGTGGTAAACGAGTTTGCAACTCACCAACCGTTGCATTCTACCTCGAGTGCGATGCAGTTGCGACAGGCTTGGTCGCAACTGCATCGTAAAGAAGTCGCGTACAAAAAAAAAAAAGAAAACAAGAGGCGACTAAATCGTCTTAGGGTTGCGAAGCGTTTTGCGTAAAATACATATTTACTGTACCAATAATATTTGTTAACACTATAGGTTCATCATACTATTTGGTAAGAGGTTCATCATACTAAGGTAAATTTCTGGGAAAACGGCACTCACAGGGTTCGAACCAAAAATCTTTCGATCCCCGACTGACTTTCTCACCATTGCGCACAAACCACCACGTATATTTCGTACAGTATTTATTACTGAACATTATAATTTCGGCGAATTGTCCACACCCTAGGGTTTTTCCTGTCAGAAATAACTGAGCAGGAATGGTGTGACTAACAGGAACAACAGTACAAATATGAAACCCTAACCTGGTATACCCCCTAAGGTATCACCCACTACAGCCTAGAACAATATAAACATATAATGTTTGACACACCCCCATAGGCAAAGTGGGGAAGACCTAGGGGTCACAAGACCAGTCAAGGCAAAGCAAGGCAACAACAAGCTCAGGGTGGACCTCAAGGGTTCCACACAAATTCCGAGCACAAACTAGCGGTCACAAGCCCAATTCACACACAAGTTTATAACAGATCATGATATACAATGATCACAACCTAGCAAGAGTAGACATGCAGGCATATATATATAATGATCACAGTATAAGCAAGGTCAAGAAGTGAGCAAGTGAGGTCCAGTAGGCACAAGGCCCAGAAGAGTACAAAAGCGCTGATGGTCAACAGGCGGAAGTGCCTTGGTGAACACATCAGCAAGGTTGGCCTCGGTGGCCACGTAACGCAGACGAAGCTGACCTCGCTGCTGCAGCTCTCGAGCAAGGAAGTACCGCAGAGCGATGTGCTTCGTTCTGTGCTCCAGTCTGTGCTCCTCACACAGGGCAATGGCTGCCTGGTTGTCGACGTACAGCACTGGAGGAGAACGAGGCCGCTCCCCAAGGTCGGTCAGCAGGTAGGTCAGCCAGCGTAGCTCCTGGGCAGCCATGGCTGTGGCGTAGATCTCAGCCTCGCAACTGGAGCTGAGAACAGAAGAAGAGCGTGTAGAGCGCCAAGAAACTGAGCCAGAGCCAAGGCTGAAGGAGTAACCCTGAGACGACCGCTGAGTGGCCTGGTCGTCTGCCCAAGAAGCGTCTGAGTGCCCTGTGAGAACAACTCAGTCTCGCCCTCCAAGCACAAGCCCCATGCCCGACGTACTGCACAAGTAGCGTAACACCCTCTTAGCGGCATCCATGTGCTCCTTCCTGTGACGGCCAGGAGCGACATAGCGTGCAAGAATGCTAAGAGGGTATGCAAGGTCAGGTCGAGTGCAGGTCATCAGGTACATGAGGCAGCCCACAAGCTCTGGGTACGGGCCACTCGACTCTACGGACTCATCCGAAGGCAGAGCTGAGAGCGAGTGACCGGTAGGCAGAGGAGTGGACTGAGGCGAGGAGTACGTGAAGCCGAAGCGCTGGAGAACCTGCTGCACCATGTGTGACTGAGTCAGGGTGATGGTGCGCCGTGCTCTGTCCCGGGTGATCCGCAAGCCAAGATAGCTTGTCAGCTCACCCAGGTCTGTGCACGTGTGTCTCCTCTGCAGCTCCGACTTCACGTAGGCAAGTCCTGCAGTGTCAGCAGTGGCAAAGACTAAGTCGTCGACGTACACGAGGATGTAGAACGGCGGCAGCGAAGTGTCGGTGCGCAGGAACAGCGACGGGTCAGCTGTAGAAGGCGCGAACCCAAGAGCCGCAAGTGTAGTCCTCAGTGTGTCGTGCCACTCACGCGGAGCCTGGCGGAGACCGTAGACCGGCCGCTGAAGCCTCCACTGGGTACCAGGAGGAAACGACCCAGTGAAGCCAGGTGGGCGGCGCAGCCAGATCTCCTCGTGCAGGCTGCCCTGCAAGAAAGCAGTGCTGAAGTCAAGTGAGTGAAGCTCGTAGTCGCGCTGAGCGGCTATGTGCAGCAGCACCCGAAGAGTGGTCATCTTCGGGGTGGGGAGAAGGTCTGAAAGAAGTCAACTCCCTCTCGCTGACTGAAGCCTCGAGCCACGTAACGCGCCTTGAAGACAGGCGGAGAACCCGGCGGCCGCTTCACCCTGAAAATCCACATGCCACTGACGATGTTCGCCCCAGGAGGGGGAACCTCGTCGACGTAGGTGCGTGTGGACTTCCAGGAAGCCATCTCGGCGTCCATGGCCGTCTGCCACTGAGAGGAGTAGGGACCCGCCATCGCCTCAGCGTAAGTGCGTGGGGTCGGGATGTCTGGTGCATCCGGGTCTCCCTCAGGGGCAACTAGCATGGACACGAGATGGGGCAAAGCAGCAGCAAAGCAATGGAACTCCTCCTGTCTGTCCTCAAGGACGTCCGTGCCAAGAGCACACGCACCCCCGACGGACGGAGGACAGGCAGACTCAGACTCAGACTCAGCCACTAGGCTAGCAGCGTAGTCTAGGCGACAGCAAGCAGCAAAGTCAACTAACTCAGCGACCAGAGCAGACGCAGCGGCGGACTCAAAAGAAGGGTCAGTGACAACGGTAGCAAGGAGACGCGTAACAGTGGGACTGGCAGCACGACGGGAGTCAGACTCCGGGTCAGGAAGAGTAGGTAGGGAGGACGCAGGAGGAGACGGCAGCGGGACACGCTGCGGAGCAGTGGAGGGACGCAGAGTCATGTAGTGAGTGCCAGGGACAGGAGGAGGACGCTCACGTGGGACACGACGACCAGTGCGAGCGGTACGAACAGGCGACGCGGGACGAGACTCAGGCTCACGACGCTCTGTAAGACCTCCTGTGGGACCAGCGTAAGGAGAGGGAGCAGGGAGAGGCGAGGCGGGCGGTAACTGTGACTGCGGCTGGACAGGTAGAGGACCCTCGACGGAGGGAGGAGGACCAGGAGGAGGAGCCTGACCAAGAACCTGCTGAAGGAGCGGGACGAAGTACGGTCGCGGCCGCGCAGCGTCTCCAGAAGCAGCAGGGACACCAGCGGCAGCCCCAGCGCCCAAGTCCTCAGCACCAGCAGTAGCTCCAACACCCGAGTCCTCAGTACCAGCAGTAGCTCCAACGCCCTGGTCCGCAGCACCAGCAGCAGCGTCACCGGTCGGGTCGTCAGCACCAGCAGCAGCTCCACCAGGCGGGTCCGCAGCACCAGTAGCAGCTCCAACGCCCGGGTCCTCAGCACCAGTAGCAGCTCCAACGCCCGAGTCCTCAGCAGCAGCAGCAGCGCCACCGCTCGGGTCCTCAGCTCCAGCAGCAGCTCCAACGTCCGAGTCCTCTGTACCAGCAGCAGCGCCACCAGTCGGGTCCGCAGCACCAGGAGCAGCTCCAACGTCCGGGTCCTCAGCACCTGTAGCAGCTCCAACGCCCGGGTCCGCAGCGCCAGGAGGACCACTCCGAAGACTGCAGCGCCGTGTGTACCACTCTCGAATCACCTGAATGGGGGGGAGCTCCTGGGAAGGAGGGGAAGTACCGGGACGAGCTCCAGCAGCACCTCTCCGGAGGCGGCAGTACTCGAGGTACCTCTCCTGCAGCTGCTGGGAGGAGAGGGCTCCTCCAGGCGTAGCACGCTCAGGCTCAGCACCCCCAGACGTAGCACCCCCAGACTCAGCACCTCCAGGCTCCGCACCCCCAGGCTCCGCACCCCCAGGCTCAGCACCCCCAGGCTCCGTACCCCCAGGCTCAGCACCCCCAGGCTCCGCACCTCCAGGCCCAGCACCCCCAGACTCAGCACTCCCAGGCTCAGCACCCCCAGACGCAGGACGCGAGTCAACAGCTACCTCGACAGGCTCACCCGGGTCTACCTAGGACACACCTGAGGGAGCGGCACCCTGAGGGGGGAGGGGGTCGGGTACCTCAGCACCTGGAGCGAGGAAGAGCGGCGGAGGGGGGAGGGGGGCAGTGCGGTAGGGGAAGAGGCGGTAGAAGGGGACGGACTCGTCAAAAGTGACGTCCTGAGAGGCCAGAACCCGGCGCGAGGTGACGTGGTAAAACTGCCATCCAGGCGCGTCGGGAACAAAGCCAAGGAAGACACAGGGAAGAGCGCGACGGGAGAGCTTGTCCACAGACGTGTCGCGGACAAAAGCTCGGGATCCCCACACCCGGAAACGCGACGCATCGCCAACCTCTCCCGTCCACCGCAGAGTCGGGGAAGTCTCCGGCAAGGAGACACGGGGCCAGAGGTTGAGCTGATGCGCAGCGTACCGGACCGCAAACGGCCACAGAAAGTGGGGAGCAGCCGCATGGGTCAGGGAGGTACGAGCGACCTCCATGACTAAGCCAATGCGGCGCTCAGCAACCCCATTCTGCTGTGGAGAGGCCGGAAGCGTGTACGACTGCTCAATGCCGTGCTCAGCACAGTAGGCTGCCAAGAGGTCGGAGGCAAACTCACCACCTCTGTCAGAGTGCAAGCGCAGGACAGGAAAGTCCGAGTGAAAGCGCTCGCCTAGCTGGAGACGGGCTCGGCTGATCCAGGGGATCAAAACACCAGGGACGTCACCCTTGGCGCGCAAGGGGAAGACCGTGGTGTAGCGCGAGTAGTCGTCAACAACTATCAGGAAGTACCTCTCCTGACCCTGACCACGGACGCGGGCTGGGCCCCACACGTCCATGTGGAGCGTCTGCAGGGGAGCGGTCGTCGGGGGAAAGGAGGAGGAGTGAGGAGCGGCGCGCTGCCGCCCCTCGACACAGGGAATGCAGTCAGGAGCAGGGGAGTCAGGAAGGGGAGGGAGCACCCTGGGAAGACCAGCAACAAGGTCCCGTTTGTGCATGGCCCGCAGGCGCTGCACAGACGGGTGACCAAGGCGGTGGTGCCAGAGGACGGTGTCGTTCGCCAGAGAGCGACACGAGCAGGGGGCGGACAGCTGACCTGACGCTGACGCAGACGCAGCTACCTGAGGGGACTCAGTGGTCAGTGTGTACAGGTCAGACCCCGGCTCTCGAGTGAAAGTAGCTAGGTGGCGGCCCGTCCGAGCACACGTGCAGTGAGTCACACGCTCGTAGGCAGGGGTGAACTGGTGAACACCCCCGTCCTGGAGCGCACTACCTGCCACCAAGTTCGTGGAGAACGAGGGGAGGTAGAGACCTGAGAGCGTGCCGGACGGAACCGCTGGACACGGAAGGGTGGTGGAGGAGGTCGCAAGGACCGGACCCCCAGAGGGGTCAGCAAGAGAGACAGCAACCGGCCGAGCTAGAGGCTCAAGGACAGTGCGGTCACGAAAGAAGGAGCGAGAAGCACCTGAGTCCAGTGTGAAGGTGTGCAGTGCTGCAGTCGACTCAGTACCAGGGGGCACAGACGCACAAGCACCTAGAGCAGCAGCGGGGCTGGCCTGAATGCCCGGGTCGGGCGGAACACGCAAGTACTGAGCACCCTCTCCACTAATAGACATCGCATACATGGCAGTGAGAATAGCATCAAAGTCTAGTGCCCAAATATCAACACCCTTCCTGAGCAGCTCAGCCCAGCGCGGCAGCTCACCCCCACCAGGAAACTGGGTGCGCCACGCGTCGTTGAGGCGGGCGAAGCAGCGCTCCGTCTGGTGCGGCCCCCCACACGTCTGGCCAGTGCGGTCACCTGTACGAATAACATACTGGCAGGTGACGCTGCGCCGCGCATACCACTCACGGGCGGCCTGAAGGGTCGGGGCAGGCTGCTGACTCTGACCGCCCCCCGGGCCTCCACGACCACCACCCCCTCCGCCTCCGCCCCGGCCACCTCCACCCCTGCCGCTGCCACGACCACCTCCGCCTCCGCTGCCACCTCCGCCCCTGTCACCACTCCCAACGCCGCTGTCACCTCCACCACTGCCGCCACTAGCCTCTCCAGTCGCACCTCCACCGCCACCACCTCCACCTCCGCCTCCTCCGCCACCACCCCCACTCCTGCCACTCCTGCCCCTGCGTCGTCCGCCTGAAGCAGACGCAGCCCCGACCTTCTCAGCACCAAGGAGGTCGACAGCAGCAGCAGATGCGACAGAGGGAGGAGGGGGGGAGGAGGGGGGAAGGGGAGCACCCCTCGAAGAAGGGGCCGCGGGGGTCGCCACGAGAGGTGCCTACAGCGACGATACTAGCCTCGGCTGCAAGCAGTTCCTTCTCGAGGAGGTCTACGGTGAGCTCAGTGGGGGAGCGAGAGAGGAACTGGTCCCTGACAGGGCGCAGAGAGTCAGGGAGTCGGTGGGTGACAACGTGGTAGAGAGTGATCCAGAGCGGGGGGGGGGGTTGCTAGCGCGAAACTCGTCAGGCATGGCAGCGCGGGAAAGCGAGCCTCACTAGTCT